TCTCTTTATTTTAGTTTGCAAGACAGTCATCAGGAAGGACCGGGGAATCCACACTCTTGACTGACGGACCATCTCTGGATCAAGCCTTTCTATATCCAATCGGCAGGCGATTTTAAATCTCCCATAGCTAATTCTAGATGCCCCTTAATATTGTGAGCAAATAGACCGTCTGGTACTAAGCACTCCAATGTTAGCACGTGTATGAAGGAGGTAGCTCCTTGGAGACGTGTGACTTAGAGATCGCTGTATTTACGACTCCTCCCTCCTTTTTTTTCATTGTGTTCAGACCAATTTCCATGTGGCCCTGTTTGATTTCCAAGTGACATTTTTAGCTAAAATAGTCTTGTGATGTGGTGACTTAGATGTTTTTCTTTTTTTTTTTTTTTTTTTTTTGTTTCCAAGTGGGATAAACTGCCACCTTTGTTCCTGCCCAGCCCTTCACCATTCTTTGAATGTCTATTTAGAGAGGGAAACTGTCAGTATTTTAGAGTGCAAAACTATTCCACAAAATGCTATGCTCTGACCCTTGCTCCCAGGGTAAGAAATTTAATGGCATGTAATTTGAATACATAATCAGGAGTAGCCAGATATAGTTCTTGGTCTGCGATGAATCGTGATACGTGGCTTCTGCACGGCATTACTTTGTTTTGTCTCAGCACACATGAATTAAAGACTGCACAGAAGCTGCATTCAGCATCCCCGTGCCAGGGCCTTCAGCACATAACTGTTGAGTTTCAATGTAGTGGTACATGGTCTCTCTGGCCCATGTGGCTATGTTGTCCTTCAGCTGTGTGTGTCAGTCTTACAAAATCATTACGAAAAGTTGCTTGACAGATGTTGCAACTTCCTGGTTCTTTATTTACTAAGACTTCCCATGACTTACAAAGCTAAAATTATTTTGACTAATAATAATAATGTGATTCTCCCTGGACAAATTGAGATGTAGCAAAAGCTGGTGTACAAGTAAAGTCTTGGTATCTGATTACATCCAGGTGCCTGGGTCGGTGGTTCTGCTCAGCAATAATATTTTTCCCATTGCAAGACTGACTAAAATATCTCATTTTGTGCTATAAAAAAGCAACCTATAAAGACCTGCAGTTGTTTTCTAGTGTATCTGTCAGTTACTATAAATCACAAAGGATATTGTTAAATAGTGTAAAGAGCTCTGGTTATTTAATGAACTCAAATACTTACTGTAACTCTCCATATGTTGATATCAGCTTTAGACAATCAAATAAGCAGAACAGAATCAAAGAAATGCTGCTTTATTAAATACATATGAGAAAAAACAATTTATTTGCTTATGCCTAAGGCCCAATGCTTGATTTTTCTTTTTTTTTTTTCCTAGTAGTAATCACTTTATTTTCCCCTTCTGTATTTGGCGGCACTAACACTGAATGCCAAACACAGTTGTGGGTGTATCGCCACTTCTGAGGAGTCTTTCTGGCATTCTGTAATGCATCCGACTCCTTCAGGCCTTCACATTCCTGCAAGCAGGAGATCCTGAAATGATCCCATGCCATGCTGAGCAAGTATGTGCAGGGATCCAAACTCTTTTCAGTGCGAGGGAAGATGAGGCGTGCTCTGGAGGGAGAGGATGGTGTTTGGTTTCTGGGGAGGGGGCAGTTTATCCCTTTATTGTTAGTTTGTTGTTTTGCCTTACTCATGTCTAAGTGCAATAAGCTCTGAATTGTACCAGTAGCTCTGGCAGGCTCTCCTCAGTGACCTCAGACGGCTTTGTGGGGTGGGGTTTGAGGGGTTTTTAGCAATCTCACCAGGCTGAAGTTAAGACAAATTTATTGTAAAATAGGTGAAGAAATTAAATTTTAATCTGCGAGGCTGTTTGGGACCAGGATGTTTCATGGCATCTTCTATAGCTGTTCAAGAAGTATTCTAGGAGTGTAGGCCCCACTTAATAGTTCTTTCGATTTAACGTATTTTTAACTGAGAATTTATGCACTGACTTCTGTTCGTGTTTGTTGGTTACGTTTTGAGGGATTCTTACACTTGAGGACAACCTGAGAATACACATAGCACACTTGTTCTTTCAATTCGTGTTATCCAAGAGGCTTTCTACCCAATGACACTAATCGCTATGGAAGCAGATTGTAACATTCCACCATGCAATCCTTTTTTGATCCTCTGATTTCAGAGTAAGCTTTTACACAAAGCTTTCCTGATTAGTGGAAAAACTGGGGGGGGGAAATGCAGGAACTCCAGCCTGAGCACTTCCCCCCCTCCCTGCCCCTTGCTTTCCTTCCTTCCAGTTTAATCCAAAGTGGAAGCATCCCTCAGCCTTGGGATAGACAAATCCTCCATGCTTGGTTCCTGCTGGTGAGCACGGCGAAGGCCGCGCAGCGTTACCGTGCTGTATCTTTCATTGGCTTTGGCAAGACCCCCCCAACCTGCCAGCGGGGCTGTGGCTGGGCAGCGTGTCACCGCGCTGTGACCCCCTCCCCGAGCCACGCTGGGTGGGTTTCGGGGGGGCTGGGGGCAGGTTCCTCGCCCCACTGCACCTCTCTGGGTTCATCCCCGCTGGGCCTCCCCGACGCGTTCTGATGGGTTCATCGCGCCCTCTCCTTTGGCAGCACACTGTAGAACGGGTTAGGTTTTCTCGTCGTTTCTTTAAATGTGAGTTTGTGCCTTTTTTTTTTTTTTTTTTTTTTGT